TATGGTAGTATTGTGATCATTAATAAGAACAAGGGTGAATTGTGATTCTGTCAAGGCAAAAAACTACCAAAAACCAGTAAGAGTAATCGAAGAACAACAATTTCATTCGAAAGAAAAAAAAGAGTAAAATGATTTTGGATAAATGATGTCTGTACCTGCACCTCCACCAGTATGAGCAGGCTCCCTGCGAGCATATTTGGGGGGGGGGGATTATAAGCAAGAATAAATGTTTCACGCAAATCCAGGAATGATTTTATTACCAATGAGCAAGAATACCAGCACTTCCAGAAGCCCTCATCTTTAACAATTTTCTTTGATAATGAATGTTTCACTTCACTCTCAAGCATTTGGTTTTTTCCCTGTAGTAGCTACTTTTTATTTGTTTATTTTTTGGCAGTTTCAAAAGTAAGTTCATAAAATATAAAACATCATAAGAAAAATACTTACAAGAAAACAATATTCACATGTCCGGTCCAAAATCAGGTTTATGAATATTGCAGCTAATAGTAATCTAAAATTGATTTTCATCTTAAAATGTGCCAATATCAATCAAACATTTTGACAATGATTCAAAACATTAATTAAACTACATCCAGAACTAAACTAGATAGAATTAAGCTATGCAATTTGAATTGTTCCAGAGTAATTAATTTGAAAGGAAACAAGGGAAACAATTATGCACTCACTGGGTTGATTGCGGCCGACTACTCTGTGAAAGAAGAGACTGCTGCAAAGTCAATAGTTGATGCAATAGGAAGAACCAGAATGGTGACATATTTCAATCTTCCTTTTGGAAATAGTTTATCTTATATCCTAATTTTAACAACATTCCTAAACAGAACATTTCAAGTGAAAACATAACTATAGTTTCAGATTTTACTTTTGCATGCTGAACAACTTGTTGGCAATTCGAAGCACACAACTATGTGTTTTCATGCAAGAGAAAGAGAGCGTATAAACTGCAAACTGGATACAGTTACCTGCATCATCTCGGGAGAAGTCAACTGACAAAGAGATTGAGAGTTTTGCATCAATTCTGTTAGTTGAGAATTAGAGCCAACCAAGCTTTGAAGTTGAGGACTAAGAGCAAGAACCTGGCCACTGGAAATGTCAGAAAACAAAAAACTTAACCCAAACCCCACTTATAGGAGAATACACGATAAACTAAAACCTGGTTCATGTATTGAGAGTTGGACAGGAAGCTTTGCATCATTTGTGAAATAATGGGTTTTGCATAAACTGATTCAGTGAAATAGTATATTGCATAGCACCAAACAAGCCTTCAAACGATGGAAGACCAAGACCAACTAACCCAGCAGGTGCCTGTGGCCTAGAATCTGCACTAGGATCCGACCTTGTAGAGTTAGTTTGGGCACCTCCACCTGCAAGATTTCATTCAACAAGTAGTTTATTGGTAATAGTTCCCTATGTCATTTTTCAAAAAGGGAACTATAACTCATAAACCATCTTCAGAAAGTAAATCAACAGAACTAAAGCCCAGATAACTGCTTCAAAGGTAAAACATTTTCAAGAATGATTTGAGATGAAAGGGGAAGAAGCTGCAAGAAAGCAAGAGCTTACCCGCAGAAGAAGACCAGGGGTTTGGTAGTGGATTTGTATTAGGAGCTGGTGAATCAGTAATTCCAGAAGCCAGCGAGGACTGGTTAGTTGACCTATCGCTGACTTGATTCCCTCCTTGAGATCCTAGGAGGGCAGTAAATGGGTCTGTACCACCATTTCCAGTAATCCCAGCCAAAGTGGTTGCATTCATGAAAGGCTCTTGAACAGTTTCATAAATACGGCGAAGCGTGTTAAATCCTTCAGGTGATGATTCTATGTTGCTCTTTGCTCTGTCTGAATTCCTCAACATTTCACGCATGAGCTCAGGGTTTCTTGCAGCTTCAAGTGTTCGATGGATAGCAGCTGGATCATTAAGTATGTGTGCGAGCTCAGGATTTCAGTCAATTTACTCTGCAAGTTGAGGATTGTTCATGATCAAGTTTCCAACCATATCAGTATCATTTATTAAATTCCGAACAGCAGGCATATTCATAAGTTATGTCATAATGTCAGGGTTTTGAGTCAACTCCTGTTGTACTTGTTCAAAATCTGGGAGCCCAGCTCCAAATAAACCAGCACTGCCACCTAAGCCGCCAAAGCCAAGTCCCGGAAACAATGAAGCCCTTTGACCAGCTCCTCCTGCTCCCAGTGCCCCTTCAAACCCCCAGAACTGCTTGACCTAGCTGCATTGTTTGTTGTTGCTGAAGTTGTTGGTGCAAAACGACGAACCAAGTGAACGGTGTGATTTGCCTCAAAACCTGAAGTATAAAATTAAATATACCATCAAACATTTAAGTAGGTGTAACTGGTGGAAATAACATCTGGGTTTTCATTCAACTACCCTCCTCTCTACCTTAACCTTGGTGCAGTTCCATTAAACAAAAAGCAGAACTTACATAACAACAAGTATTGTAATAACCAATAATGGTATCGTTTTTAAATACGTGGAGCTACCCTGTTGAACTAGCTAAAAAAATAAAAGGTCAAGCAAGCAGTCCCATAGAACCTCAATACGGATTAACTCAACCACAAGAAGCATAGCAAAATGTTTAAGGGGGACAAGCTTCAAAACATTCGTTTTAGAATACTGGATTATAATTATTCTGCCTTACAAAATGTCAAAAGGGACCAACAATGAATCCAGTGGCTTTCAATTAAGGAAGAAATGAGAAAAGCAATATGGAGGATGAGTTAACGCACCATAGCTTTGAAGGGTTTGGTCATCCTTCAAGATCCGGCCCTTGTAAATCAAACACTGTTGATCGGCGGGAATATCACGGTTGCGCGCCAGAATTGCCTTGAAGGAAAGGACAGTGGAATCTAGGTTGACCTGAACGGAGAATTTGGAGGCGGAGGAACAGATGATATTGACGGCAACAGCATCTCCGGCGTCGGTTTGGCTGACCGCTTTCATAGCAGAAGTAATATCACTTCCTTCCATAGTGTACCCCACTCACCGCCTCAAACACAAAAGCTCCCAACTTTGGCCAGCTACCATCTTATATGGGTAAGCACTAAGCAGGGAAAGGAGTGAAGAATTTTGATATTATGGTAAAATCCAAGTAAAATGCAGCTGTAAAGAGAAATGAAACCGCAATCCGAGACAAATGTCAAGCAAAGTACCTATTTTTTCAGGGACAATGAACGAAACGTAAACAAAAACGGTTGCAAAAAGGGATATCTATGTAATGCTGGGAGAATTGGGTTCGAGCCATAATCATCCATTAGCTTCCTAAGTCCACTTCATGGGCACTGAGCCCTTAACCCAACCACGGTCCTCAACAAAATAGGCCTTTTAGGTACATTTGGTTTAGGGTATTGTTAGTTTGTTACAATAGTTCTATAAAATCATCAATAGTAAATCTTATTTGAGAATAAAATTAGAGTATTTAAAAATATACGGATAAATAACTCATTAATTAGTCTTAATAATTAAAAAGAGTTCATCTCAGAAGTCCTGGATTCGAGCAATTATCTTTGCGGGCGTATGTACATTATCGAGGTTAAAAAATTCTGAATATATACGAACTTATAATCAATCATAGACTATTAAAATATAAATTTTGTTTAATTCAAGTTAGTATGTTTTTAAAGGGACTAGAGCTTCAAGGAATAACGCTACTCTCTCTACCTTTCGGATCACCTCTGCACAAAATTTAAAGCGATCAAATGTATAGGAGAGGTTGTTTGTACGTACTTCATTTAATTAACATTTATGACTGTTTCTTTTATTATTATTATAATTGTTCATACACGTTATTGTTTTCTTCACATAAAACAAATATAATGGTTATATTTAACATAAAAAAAAACATTGTTATATAGCTATAATAAAACATAACATGACTATTTTAATTTAGTCTCATATAATATAATAGTGTCCCAAAAAGAGCCCGCAGTGTCGGTGGGAGAGCGCCTGGAATGCGCGTCTTGTAAACGATTTAAACTAAAATTAAGAGCCAATTGCGCCATGCATCCCCATAATATAACTTCATTTTAAATTGATCCCTATATCCCTAAATGCTCTATTTCATTCTCAAATTATGAATCGCATTCTAAATGGTCTTCAAATTTTTGAATATTTTAATTATATTCTCGAGCTAGAAATATTTGTTAATCATATCCCCTGTTACTAATTTTGTTAAAAATATTAATTGATATGTATTATGTAATAATTGATATTATATCATACCTCTCGAAATCATCATTTAAAATAAAATTGGGATGTTCTTTAATTTTTGTTCTCACGTTTTATTAATAAAACTTTTTCAAAGTTAAACCATCATTAATTATTATTTATGTGACGTCATATTATTCCACAATAAACGTCAGTGTTTATATAACACTTAAACAATTTTATAATGATTTTATTATCAGATGATATGATTATTACATATTGATAGTTTGAAGATAAAATTAAAACGTTCAAAAGTTTACAATGAAACGTTTAAAAATTTGGGACCAATTTCGAATAACAATCATAATTTAGAATGAACTTGAAATATTTAAAAAATCATGATCAATTTAAAATGATAATTCAGAGATATAATACAATTGACTCTAAAATTAAACTTCTAATCTCCAAACCTCTTATTATTTATATCTAAAGTGATATCTACGTTAACAGTAAAAAATACAAATCTTAATGTACTGGATCTTATCAATTAACCAAATTAAACCAAAAGGTTAATAATATTTGAAAACCACTCACATGCAGCAAGGCAGGCACGTCACACAAATTACAACCCAGATGACCGTTGTTAGGACAAAAACTTGTAGAAATCATCTAACGGACACTTTTCAATAATTAGCCGTTGCCCTTTTTTTAAAATACTCATCCATCCCTCCCTTTTCTTTCAGACAGACTTTATTTATCTACCTGTATTTGTAAGATCTCCGCTTCTATGGAATGAGAGAGAGAGAGAGGCTTTTTAACTTCTATAAATGTTCATTCTCTCGCTAATTTAAAGAGGTTCCACTTACATACATTGGCCTTGTTCGTTTGGAGGGGGGTGGTGCTTTTGTTTGTTCTTTCAATACACGGGATCGATAAAAAAAAATGGAACATTTATCTGATGAGAACAATCCTAATCTCACCAAACCCACAAGTTTTCTAGGTATTTTTGGTTTCAGTTTCTTCTCAATTCAATATTCAAATCTGGGTGTGCTTACTTAACCCACCCCATGGATCTAACGTGTTTGTTTTGAATAAAGGAGGCGGTGGTGTTATAGGTTGCAGAAAGTTCGGGCAGGAGATTAAGCACAACAGAAGAGCTTTAAGTTTGATTAATCAGAACTTGGTGGGAGCTAAACCATACCCTTGTCTTGTTAATAAGAGAGGCTTGTCCAAGTAATATATCTCACTTGCTCTATTCTTTCTTCTCTCGATTGTTTCTCTTGAGAATATCTGAAGAGTGTTTATGTTTTGTTTTGTATTGTTTTTTTCCTCAGAAGAAATGGATGTTCTGAAAACAAGCAGGTTGATCCTGTGCACAGACCAATTACCAGGTTAGAGATTTTGAAATTTCAACCCCCTTTGGCTTTTGCTTTCCGGCTTTCTTGTCAAATGAGCAAAGGTGTATAAGGGAAAATAAGTTCAAATTTTGGATCTTAGATCTCAGTCAACTAGAAAAGTCCTGTCCTTTTTAAATCATTTACGAATCAAAATAGCATACGAGAGTAATGTTCAAACTCAAATTCTTTCATTTTTTACATTCAGGAAGTTTGCTGCCCAAGTTTCCAGTACTAGTCAACGGCATTGCCCCGAGGTACCACAGATCTCCATCTCTCTCGCAGCCTCTAACGAATGACAGTAACTCAAGTTCGAGTACCATAGACAACAGCATTATTTCTAGATTCTGATGGCTTGTCCTTTTAACAGGAATCTAAGAAGCTGAAACCATCAGTTCCAAGCTCAAATGAGTTTGGAGATTGTATATTCATAGACGTGGAGGAAAATAAGGCATGTGTAGACCATCCTGTACCCATGTTCTTAGAAGAAACAGAAACTAGCTTAAGTGAAGCCGATGAGATGGAGGAAGTCGAAATGGAGGATATAGTTGAAGAGCCGATTGTTGATATTGATGGCTGTGATGCAAATAATCCACTGGCAGTCGTCGAATATGTTGAAGATTTGCATGCCTATTACAGAAAGATGGAGGTAAATAATATTCCATATCCATTTGTTTCCTAAAGCAAAATTTTAGTTACCATGTTTGACTTAAAATCAGTTCATTGTATGCAGAATTTTAGCTGTATTTCACCTAACTACATGGAGCAACAATCTGACATTAATGAGAAAATGCGGGCTATACTGATCGACTGGCTTATTGAGGTATTTGAAATGCCCCCTACTGAACCAATGCCATAAATGCTAAATAGTTAGTTCTGCTTCAGTCTTTTAATGGGTATAATAATGAACAGGTGCACGATAAATTCGACCTCATGGGGGAGACACTGTTTCTTACAGTTAATATCGTGGACAGATTTTTGTCTCGACAAACAGTTGTGAGGAAAAAGCTTCAGTTGGTTGGACTTGTTGCTATGCTCTTAGCGTGCAAGTACGAGGAGGTTTCTGTTCCTGTGGTGGAAGATCTAATCCATATATCTGACAAAGCTTACTCCAGGAAAGAAGTTCTGGAAATGGAGAAATTGATGCTCAACACATTGCAATTCAACATGTCGTTGCCGACACCCTACGTTTTCATGCGGAGGTTCCTCAAGGCGGCTCAGTCCGACAAGAAGCTCGAGTTTCTATCGTTCTTCTTGATCGAGCTGGCACTGGTGGAGTACGAGATGCTTAAGTTCCAACCATCGCTGCTAGCAGCTGCTGCCATCTACACTGCTCAATGCAGCCTATATGGGTTCAAGCAATGGAGCAAGACGTGCGAGTGGCATAGCAGCTACACAGAAGATCAGCTATTGTGAGTTTTTATCATTTCTTGCCAACAAAAAACATTGTACCAACACAAGTTACTAATGATGTTTGTTGTTTTTGTTGTTGTTACAGGGAGTGTTCTAGATTGATGGTCGGTTTCCATGAGAAGGCGGCAGGAAAACTAACAGGGGTACATAGAAAGTACTGCACATCCAAGTTCGGTTTCACAGCAAAATGTGAAGCTGCGATGTTTTTGTTAGAGACCCAACAACCATAGTACATGCAGCTACTGATTGACTATACCTGATTTGCTGAAGAGAGTGGGGCAGGAGGACACCTAATTTTAATAAAATTTAGCAACTTTGGGTTGTTTGAAATGTCTTTACAACTATGCTTTATGTATGTTCAAATTGGACATTTTTTTTCTCACTGTAATTTCAAGTATTTCCTTGATACGCTAATAAATGAAACACCATTCTTTCTGAATTCCATGCAACCTTTTATCTGAAATTTTCGGAGTAAAATTTTAATTAAGTCTGAAGTTGAGTCGGATTAAACCCTCTTTTTGGAGTTGCAAAAGAAAAAAAAATCCAAACTTTATCACTGGAACGGATCCGACATGAGCGTTATGGAACTGAGCCACCGTAACAAAGATCTCCGTTCCATCATTGAAGAAGCCGAGGCCGATCTTCCCCTGAAGACACAACCCAGTTCGCTGCTGTCCCTTCGATCTTTGTGGCCCCGATGACACACCGTTGATTATCAGGGGGCTTTCAAGGAAGCCCATAAATATTGCAAGCCGATAGTCATTTGGTCTACTTCAACTTCAGACCAAAGACGGTAGATTCCATGACAATTTCAGACAAAAGCAATAAGAATTGATCATTGAAAATGAAGACATACGTTGATCCTTCATTTTAACCCATTGGCACTACTTCAACTTCATGAGAAAATGAACAGCCAATATTTCAATTTCACGTGCATGTGATATAGAGAAACTGAAGCCATGTTAATAATCAAAACCAACTTAACTGATCATGACACAGAAATTAAAAACCGATCAATCTTAGTTTTGTTACAAGAAAATAACACAACCAACTTAGTTATCTTGTTTAGTCGATTATTTTAATTACTATGATTATTAGGTCGGAAATATTTATAAACATTTTATCCGAATATATTTTAATTACTGATTCATTTGATAAATATTAAAAAATTATAATTAATATTATAAATATAAAAAAATATAACATAATAATATTATAAACAAAATATTATAGTAGTAAATTTTGGATTATAATAAACATTCTACTAATTGATTTTATCACAGCTATATATATGCGCGTGTGTTAGAAATAGGTTGCTATGACTATGCTATCTAGTTCGAAAATGCTTGGTACTAGTGTTGCTGCAACTTTGGAGTGTCAGTTCCCGGTTCATAGGATGCGTTGCAGCTTTCATTTTGACCTACCGTTACAATTTTTATTACTAATCTTTGAAGACGATGAAGTTGGCAATCTTTTAATATCCTCTGCTTCTTGGTCTGACTGCACCACTTTTCTCCGCCGCAAATTATGGCCAGCCAACCGCTCCCGGCAACTCCTTTTGGTACCATCGAACTTTGAAATTTCGTGAAACCTGCGTTTACACTCCCAAAATTCACCAAATTGCGAACATAATTAGCAGGAGAAACGTGAAAAGGCACAGCAAGTGCCAAAATCTGTTTCTGAAACAGAACAAAAGGACTTAAATTTGGACATTAATGTGTAACCTGCTACACTGCTGGCAGAACCTCTGGCCAATGCCCCTAACCGAAAACAAAAGCAGCCTTGGCGTGTGACTCGCAGACTCTGTGCCGCCGATGATATTGCTTTTCATCTTTCAAATCGGCACCACATTCATCAGCTTGACAACCACCGCCGCCGCCGCTACCGCCAGCATCTGTGCAGCAGCTTGCAGAGTTTGAGTAGTGTATGAAACTCGTACTCTCAAATCTCTAACGGGGCACCACCCTTATCATGACTCTCATCTCATCTCTTTGCTTCTCATCTCCACTATCTGTCTCTCCTTCTTCCTCCGTGAATCCCATGTCATCTTCTTCAACCCCATCAAACGACCTTTTAGCCATTTTCATACTAACAACGATAAAAAAAACTGAAACTGAGAAGTGTCTAATGTTTAGGGTATGTTAATTTGAGGGAGCTGAAAGAAGAAGAAGAAGAAAGGCACAAAAGTGGGGTAATGAAAGAGGACAATGGGATTAACAGTGAGAGTGACCCACCATATAAAAGAGGCAAAGTGTGTGTCATATATTATATAGTCGGCAACATAAAAAGTTGGGAAATTTAGGTTTGTGTTTCCGTTTTGAGGGCGAAAGTACCTGAATGAATCCGAGCAGACACGTAACATAATCACGTTTTTTCTATGACAAAACAATGACAAATATAAGAAAACTGGTAAAACTTTCGAGATAATGTTTTGAAAGAAATTAATTCACGAGCTAATGCACTCTCAAGATTAATTGCTCAAATAGGATGAAATTCACAGTATTGGCCGTAGGTCGCCATGCACTCCGGGCGACCTACCCTTGCTCAAACAGAGAGAATGAACGTGTTGCATGGCATATGCACGTCCCAACACATAGGTCTCCATGCCTTCCGGGCGACCTTGTAGGTCGCCATGCACTCCGGGCGACCTATCCTCGCTCGGCTTCCCTCGGATTCCCTCGCATAGCTCGCTCGGTTGCCCTCGGATGTCCTCGCATAGCTCGTTCGGATGGCCTTGGTCGGATGGCCTCGGATGCTCGGATGGCCCTCGGATGCTCTCGGATGGCCTCGGTCGGATGGCCTCAGATACCCAGCGTGTTGGGACGTGCATGACACATGCAATCTCTTGTAGTTCGCCGGGAAGACATGGCGACCTAGTAGGTCGCCCGGAAGGCATGGCGACCTACGATCAACACTGTAAATTTCACTTTATTTGAACAATTAATCTTGGTAGTTCTTTATCTCATAAATTATTTTTTTCCAGAACATTATCTCGAAAGTTTTGTAAAGAAAACTTGGGCGACAGATACAACAGTCAGAAGAACTGTGCGGCGCGAGCTGTTTCCGGGAATTTTGTTTTGATTTGTCCAAGATAGCTGACCCAGATTGAAGGTGTCCACGTACATATCAATATCATCACGTTGCTTTTAACATGATAAAGATTTTTTCCTATATAAATAACTGTATCATTTTTCGAGTTTATTGGTGAAAATATAATGTTGTTGGATTAGGTTATGTCATCTCATGTCACGTGCAGGTTTTGCTATAGTTATGGTCGTGGACATATCCAGTTTTTCCTTTTTGTTCATATCTCATAGCCCAAACTCCAAACACAATGTGAGGGACGGCCAAAGACTCATTTCTTTTTAAAAATTGGTTAAAAAGTTATTAATAACAGTTTAATTTTAATTTTCTTTCTATAAAGAAAACCCCCTCTTCCCTCCCCTTCACACCAACAACTAGAAAGAAAAACCCGGAGTTGCAGTGCTCATTTTACCATTAGTCTCACCTCAATAAAGAATAAAAAAGAAATGACTGGCCTCACCATTGGAGACACCGTGCCCAACCTTGAAGTAGAAACCACCCACGGGAAATTCAAGCTCCACGTCTTCTTCAACAATGGCTGGAGTCTGGACCATCGTCTTCTCTCATCCTTGTACATAGCTATCCTTTTTATCATATTTCTTCGTATTTTGTTGCAGTAATTTATTTTATGTTGGATTTTTTTTTTGCATGCAGCTGATTTCAAACCTGTGTGCACTAAGGAGCTTGACAAGATGACGGCTTACCTGCCGGAGTTCGAAAAACGAGGGGTTAAGCTTCTGGGTTTCTCTTCCGACGATGTGTAGTCACACAAGGAGTGGATTAAAGACGTTGAAGCTTATACTGTAAACCTTTTCTTGAGTTTCCTTTTGATTTAAGCTTTTGAGAAATCTGTCTTCACATGGTTGTTTCTTTGTAAACTGGTTCAGCCTGGGTGCAAGGTGACATACCCGATCGTGGCAGATCCCAGCAGAGCAAAAAAATTAACAGGGTGGACCCGAATGAAAGAGACTCGTCGGGGAACCAGCTCCCTTCTCGAGCTATGCACATTGCAGGAACCAACAACAACAAGGTGCAAGGGTTGTTTTTTTTTACACGTATGTATAATATCTTTACTAACTCAAAATCAAAATGAAGCCATATCGAAATCATTTTAATGTTGATGTGTAGATCAAGCGCAGCTTTCTGTATCCAGCAAAGACGGGCAGGAACATGGATGAAGTGTTGAGGGCCCAGCTGTGGACTCCCTACTTGAGGTATCCAAGTACAAGGTTGCGACTCTCCACTCTACTACTCAGTCTTTGATGCTGCTATTGTCTTTTTCGTCCACCAGTTGGTCCCCACCACCACCCGCCTGCTCGACTCATCCGTTGCTCAAAAATATCGCCATTTCTCTCGCTTTGCAGGGGATGGTGACGATGACGATGATGATTTTCAACGCCCTGGGTCATGGAAATCGATGGAGAGTCTCCTCCGTTGCTCTGCCAATTACGTGCCTTTGTCCCCCATTAGCTTCCTGGAGAGAGCTGCAAAGGTTTACAGAGACAGCACATCGCTTGTTTATGGTTCTCGTAAGTTCACATGGAGTGTGACGCATCAACGTTGTGTCAAGCTTGCTTCTGCCCTGTCCCGCTCGGGATTTCTCGGGGTGATGTGGTTCGGCTCTCTCTCTCTCTCTCTCTCTAATATAGCTCTCCAGCTGGTTTATATTTATTTTTAATTAATCCAGATAAGTATTAACCTAGGTTTCCATAAAAGAAAAAGCACGTTTCGCTCATTTTTAGTACCTAATGCTTGTCTTTCTCGCCTTTTGCTTTCGTGCTGATAAAAATTTGTTTGCTTTTGTTGAATTTTAAACAATATTATCCTCATGGAGGTGCTGTTTTGAATTACATAATCAAATGAGATTCCCAATTTTTTGCTCATAAAGTGTTTAAGCAGATTTCGACCCTGGCTCCCAATGTTCCAGCATTGTACGACCTGCATTTTGCGGTTCCGATGGCTGGAGCCATGTTTTGTACGCTTAATACACGCCTTGATTCGGCGATGGTTTCGGTCCTACTGTCCCATTCAGAAGCCAAGGTCCTACTCGTAGACCACGGGTAACTTGAAATTGCTCGTAGTGCACTTGATCCTCTGAATAAACCAAACACAAAGCCACTCATCTTAATTTTGATTTCCGAAAGGGACGATTCATCTCCAACCAGCATTGTGCCGGGAAGTTACGACTATGAAAGCTTTTTAGAAACTGGTCATGTTGGATTTGAGATAAGGAGACCAAAAAGTGAGTGGGATCCTATCAGTGTAAATTATACCTCCGGTACAACATCTAGGCCCAAAGGAGTTGTCTATAGTCACAGGGGAGCCTACCTTAACATCTAGACCATCATGGTATGAAT